CCGACATGTCCACGAGTTGTCCATCGACTCGTCTGTTATTTTACGTACCGAGCTGTTGCATACCGTCATAGTATACCCACGGACACTTGTGGACACTTGCGGACTGAGATGAGTTCAACCATTCGAACACTAGATGGCGCTTAGGAATTTTGACACAGCAAAGTTTTTAATAAGTCATTTGTACGTGAATATGTCCTTTTAACTAGTCCATTTGTATAATCTGTGGGTGGAGAAAGGGGTACTTAGGCTGTTCACACTTGTCCTTTATCTAGTCAACCCTTATATTGTTTGTCATATGACGTATTGCACCAACTCGCGGTGTTCATATCCAACCTCTTCAGACTAAGACCCTCCGCCCGCCCACCCTCTATCCGGTTCGCCCGGAGTCCCCCATCGCCACCAGAGGGTGGGAGGGCAGCAACTTTTGAACCGAAGATCGTGATGTCATCACGGTCACTCAATGCTACCTTTTAACGCAACAGATTTCTATGGAGTTTCCTTCAAACATCCCGGACAGCTCGGGACTGTAACGCGGACAAACCTCGTGGACTGAATTGCGGACAGTGCCACAAAATGCAAAACGTCTCTCGGACCATTGCGGACAGAGCCACGGATAGGATCTCAGATGACTGCGGACAGTGCCACGGACACGATCGTGGACAGCATATTTCATCGAAATTTCCTTGAACCATCCCGGACAGCTACAGCTACACGGACAATCATCGTGGACAGGTTTGCGGACTATGGCGGACGCGGACAGAGCCACGGATAGGATCTCAGGTGACTGCGGACAGCTGCGGACAACTCCACGGACGTTTCAATCCACGGACTGGAGCCACGGACAACTCATGGACATACCAGTGGACATGTCCTCAAATTGTCCTCATGTAGTCCGTAGCCGCTGTCCGTGAGCTCTGTCCGTCGGCTCATCAGGGCTAATGAGGAAATATGTATTAAGGGGTTAATTTAGAACTGTACATTATGATGTTGGGCATCTGTGGAGCAGTGTCGGGGCGAAAAACAAATTATTTATTGCGATGTTCTAGTCATACTTTAACGCTTAAAATGGGGATGACTGGGTGTAAAATATGAGTACAACACATTAGTGGAGCAAACAAACGACCAATTAAAAGGTGCGGAAGGCAATATTTGAGTTTCATCATTGATTGAACGTGACCACATTATGGTCTTTTAACGTTGTACTAGAAGTACGTGATTTGAACTATCGCCACTTTACACATATCTTATTTAAAAGTAAATAAAACCATTTCGACCAAAAAACCTAGCAAATTCGACAAAAAAAAATAAAAATTGGGAGTTATCCATATCCACCCCTCGGCTCAGTAACTTATTCTCATTGCCATACTGTTAGTATCTCCAGCCGTTAAAGTTATATCGTGTAACTATTATTCAGGCCCTCTTGAAATAAGTCAGAGATTCGTCTCGTCCAAACTGTATGTACATAATACCTGAACAATGTTGATCGGTTTTGAAAATTTATCGCCATATGATAAGTTACGAAGGCCTGCCTCAAGAGGTCCATCAACTCGTTTCACTTACCCGCCCATGCTAAGCTGAGCCGCACGGCTCCGTAACATCACAACCTGAACGAACGTTACTTAACTTATTAAATTACACGCACAAGAAAAAGTAATCTATTTTAAAAAAAGATCTTAATTGTTTAGGTATTATACATACAGTTTGGACGAGCCAAATCTCTATCTTTTGTCCAAATGGCCTGGATAAAAGTTATCCGTTATAACTGTAACGGCCAAAGGAATGTTAAAGCTAACTAATAAGTTACAGAGCCCTGCTGAGCCGGGGTGGGCGGCGAGCGGGGAATTAGAACAAGATACTACTGCTCTTGCTTTCAGCGCAGGTAGGCTCGTGCCGCCACCGTATCTCTCTCTACACCGTGCCCACACATTACAAACAGCCTTCCTGCGAGCCGGTAGAGAGGGTAAGAGAGGGGAGGGGGGGCGGTTCTATCTAGTAGAAGTCTTGGGGTCTTTCAAACAAGTGCCGTCACATTTAGTGTTTACAATATTATGTATCGATACCTCCTATGTAGAACCGCCCAACTCACCAAAAACGAGTACAAAGACTGGAAATAGAAATGACTGCCGCCGATTGTAAAATATTGATATCACTGTAAAAAAACTGCTGGAGACTGTACGTAAGGGCATGACTGGAAACGATTAGAGGTGACTGGAGGTGATAGTAAGTGTGACTGGAGGTGTCGGAGGTAGTTACAGACGTGACTGGAAGAGACCATAGAGGGGACTGGAGAGGCTTCAGTATGAATGTGACTCGAGGGGTGGATAACTCCTGAATTGGGTGTACAAATTTCAAGAATTGAATTTGAATTAGCTTGAATCGATACCTCAGAGCGAGAACCGCTCAGTCTCTGCAGGAAAGCCTATTATACTGAGCGGTTCTCGCTCTGAGGTATCAGAATTGAGTTGAATTGAATTTGAATTGGACTGAATTGGTTTGAATTATTGCGATTTTATGTTACTAAATTACCGTGAATTGGCTTCAATTGACTTGAATTGAATATAAATTGTCTTGAATTGGACTGAATTAGTTGAATTAGTTTTGAATTCGTTTGAATTAAGTTGAATTGGACTGGATTAGTTTGAATTTGGTCAGAATTAGGGGTGTACACTTGGCAGGGGAGTTATCCACCCCTCGATGTGACTGGATGACTGTGAGTGACTGGAGATGATTGGAGGTGATTGTACAGATTAGAGAGACTGTAGACAGACTGGAACAAACTGGGAAGATTGGAATTGATTGTGAATGATTATACTTTGATTATTTTGCCAAGTGTACAAAGCAGAGGTGAGCATCGGGCGGTCCGCCTAGACCGGGATGGTCCGAAAACGACGGGTGAAAGTGAGACGCTCGAGCCGGCCAGAGCTCCATCTCACTCGCACTTCTCGCTTTCTGGGCCATCCCGGTCCAGGCGGACCGCCCGATGCTCACCTCTGGTACAAAAGCAAGACCAAATTAGGTACCCCTCGGCCTCGGCTCAACCCCTTGCTCTGGAAACTCAGGTGTGAGACAGTCTAACACCAAATGGTGTTAGGCAAAATACCTCACACCAATCGGTGTGAGGCAAACATACCTCACATCAAATGGTGTGAGACTCGTTGTGCCTCACACCAAATGGTGTGAGACTCGTTGTGCCTCACACCAAATGGAGTGATACTTTCTCATACCAAATGGTGTGAGACACAGAGGGTCTCACACCATTTGGTGTGAGGCACAACTAGTCTCACACCATTTGGTGTGAGGCACAACTAGTCTCACACCATTTGGTGTGAGGCACAACTAGTCTCACACCATTTGGTGTGAGGTATGTTTACAGTGAGGGCTCGCTATAGTTCCGCTCTCTTTAGTTCCGCCGGCGCTCCCTCCCCGCCAGGCCTGGTTCCCCCACTCCGAGCGAGAAGCGGCCCCCCTCTCTTCCTCCTCCCCACCACCTTCCCCCCGGGCTGGCAGCCAGCAGTGTGAGCAAGAGCGGTAGAGAAGGAGTGGGGGAAGACGCTCGCTATAGTTCCGCCTCTGGCGACCCCACTCACCCACTCCAATTCTGAACCGGAGGCGGAACTATAGCGAGCGCCTACTGTACCTCACACCGTTTGGTGTGAGGCAGGCCCGGACTGGGGGGTATTTGGCCCCCACGGCAGCTCTGGCCAGTGGCCCCCCTCCTGGGGGGGGGGGGGGCTTTTACAAATAAAAAAAATCTGCCCTGAAAAACCTGCCCGTTCAACGATTTCCATTTTCCCTGAGTTTTCCCTGATTTCTAGACCCTTTCTCCCTATAGTTCTCAGAGGTTTAAGCACCGTCTCTGTTTAGTGTACAGTGGCAAACAAATCCCCCCGCATTTGAGGTGCCTGCCAAAACCAGTAGCCTGTAGAACAAGATCGCGAGCGAAGCGAGCGCGAAAAAGTTTTGGTCAAAACACTCTGCTTGGCCGTCAAAATGTGTGTTTGACCTGAGCAGCGAATACAATGCAGTTCCGGGACCAATCAAAACAAATTTCCCTGACTTTTTTTATTTTCCCCGATTTTTTCCTGATTTCCCTGACCGATTTATCTTTCCCTGAGTTTTCCAGGTTTTGAAGGTTTCCCATAGTTGTGGCAACCATGGGTCCCCTCGTCCCTTGTGCGTCAGGACGTTGCTGGGCAGCTGTGCAGCTGTCTGGCCTTCCCCCGAGCCCTCGCAGCCTCGCTTCGCGTGGCCACATAGCCACGCGTCGCGTGGCCCCGGGCCACACCTCTCGTGGCCTCCGGCCACGCTTCGCGTGGCCCCCGGCCCCCATTGGCCCGTGGCCCACACGGATTTTTGCCGTTCCCCGCCCGGGCCAGTCCGGGCCTGGTGTGAGGTATTTTGCCTAACACCATTTGGTGTTAGACTGTCTCACACACGAATTCCAGAGTGGTGGCTGCGGACAAACGCTCAGCTCACTCCCCGCTTGCCGACAACCACTCATCTAGCATGGCGCTCCGAATAACCGCCTAAACTGTAAATCCGAGTGTGATACTGACTGCGCGTTTTCTGTGATAAAGAAATATTGCACGATGTTGTGATGATCATCGCAGCAAAAGTATAATATTCAATTCATTGCTCATGTTTGTGATGATCATCACTTATTCGAGTGACACTTCGATGTATCATAATAATTTTGTGCAATATGCGTCTCACCGTATTGAAATAAATCCAGAATCATTGCACTATTTTGCAATGAGTACCACACAATTTTGTAATAAAAATTCATCACACCCCCAGAAGTAATAAATCATGGGGATCACACAGGAAATTTTATCACACAAAAATGTGTGAAAAGTATCACACTTCGAATTACAGTGTAAGTCGCTTATTCACCGAGAATGTAAAATTGGTATCATTCGAAAGAGCCGAAAAATTCTCTCATCACATTCATTTTAAACTATTTTGAACTCGAGATCTTGCTACCCGGGGGTGTATTATACCTTGGTGGTAGGCGTTGTTTCGGTAGTTGTTGTTTGTTCAGGAAGAGCTGACGTAGATGTCGAAGAAGTACTTGGAAACGTCACAGGTGTGCTGATCGGCGTTGTTACGGTTGATGTGCTTCCTGGCATTGCTATAACGACAAGCAAAGAATCAATAGAGTCAAAGATCCGCTCCATGTACCAGAAAAAAGCTGATGCCACCTAACGAAACAGTGTATAGGTTGATACGAATGCAAACATATCGCTCACTTATTTCCAAAAACACAGGAAAACTAAGTGTGGAAGGTGGGATACAGTAGAACACGGGTTATATAGGAGAGAGGCGATTCTCATCTATTTCGAACAGTATTAAGATGCTCGTGTCATTTAAGAGTTTTTCGTGATGGCATCAAAAGTTGGGGGCTTGCTAAACTAAACAAGTCTTCCGTGCAGAAAATGTTCAATGAAAGCGCAATATCTCACGAAACACTGTTCCGCTCCGACGCTACTGGCGCAGCTAGGTCTGCGGCGCTACCTCCCGGCACGAGTTAATTGGTTGAGCGATTAGCGAAGCCCATTACTCCATTGACCGAAATTGTTCCATTCTGTTTGCTTGTCTGTCTGTATGACAAGAGGAATTGAGTTAGCGATCTGAGAATTTTATGGTCGTTTCGTTTCATAAAAAGACACATCGAGTTTAAAGATCAGTTTTCTATCCGAAAAATTGGCTTTAAACAAAATCAATAATAACAAGCCGCAGCAGGCCGCAAAATGTATTACTTTTAAATATTTTTAGCAGATGATACATCAATTAAAATCAAGAAGGAAGAAGAAAACTGAAATATACCTAAAAGAAGCTACTTGGTTTGACGTTTTCATCAGCTTGTACTCTCGCTATAGAATAGGGGGGGGGGGCAGGATTCCGGTCGACGCTGTGCGTGTGCACGTCTGGAGAGGGGGTAGCTGGTCGAGCCGGGCCTGGGGTCGGGAGGGGGGAGGCGGGGCCGTAGCGCAGCTCGGAGCTCGGCTCGGATCATCTCGGCTGAGGAACGCGCGCGGCGCGGTAATTAAAACTCTAACCTAACTATGAATACCAGACAGAACTAAATGAATTCAGAAATAACATTATATTCAAACCATGCCTCTATTGAGAAGTATCACTCGCAAACTGTCTCTACCCTCTTCACACTAACTTTGTCTTAGACCCTTCAAAACATTACAAAGTATAGGAGACACAGAACACAACTCAAATCTTTTCATGTATAAATACGTAATTAAATGTAAATTAAGATTTGTAAATTATCTATATACCTCTGCAAGTAAGAATGCGTCCCGTGATCTCCCACTGAAATATTATAGACTTTAATAATTCTTGAATTCGTATCATCTGCTTTCACGATCCGTTCCTGAACGGAACTTTTTTTATTGGATCCTAAAATCCTAGGATTCTAAATGGTGACCAAAATTGCCGGCCGCCGCCGCTCGGCAGTCGGCACTCTTTTGTCGCTCACGCCTAGACGCGTTGCGTCTTACTGGCAGGACCACCTGGAATCGAAAGGTCTTGGTTTGGCCTACACAACGATACCAAGAAACCCCAACTCATATTCGATAGTTTTCTGTCAGTTTCGAGTAGCGTGGTTTTCGAGACTTAGGCCCCTGGAAGCGACACGGTTGCGTCGATCGCGGGTTTTTAGGTAGCGGCCGAAAGTAGACACCATAGGGAATCACCTCGGCACCGAGTCGCCTCCGCCGGCCTCGCGTGCCGTGCGAGAGGAGGCCCGCAACATGGCGAGGCACTCCGAGCGCCGCGAGGGGCCGAACCGAAAAGAGCCCGGCGCCCGGCCATCTTTCGTCGTACAGAGCTCGGACTATGACCAAAAGTCATGGCGAGGTCTGTTCTTTAAAATGAGACCCGAACCTCCTCGCCTGCGGGCTTCTTTTTTTGGCGCCTATGCTTTAACATGGGAGGAGGAGGAAGTAGCCCGCAACAGCCTGCCCTTTTGGATGCACTGCTCCTCGCTTTTTCACTTCGCCCTTCAAAATGGGTAAGGCTAGCATAGGCCCCGGGTTTGCTCCATGAGTATCAGCATGGCATAAACTTTCGAAAGAACCTCGCTTTGCACTAGGTATTTTTTTTTTAAACAGCCTATACCCTCGGCTGTCCTTCCGCATGGTACGCAAGCTTGCGACCGTGGCCGTACAGGAAGGTCCCAAATCGAAAAATGTCAGTACCTTCCAAAACAGCACATTCTGAATTAGAATCAGTCCTTGGAATTGCCTTCTCTTCACTCGTTTCAGAGGAAGAGGTCGATATACTTAAAACAATGGCAAAAAGTCTAGTTTTAAGATTGTTTATAAAAAAAAATACAAGCTGAAAACTGCGCTTGTTACTTTTTGATTCATTTTCAAAGCCGAAGAGTGGAGTGGAGTCACGGTATCGCACTGTCTTTTCTCATCAGTAAGGATCTAACCTTAAGGGCCGCACGAAAATAAGGGCCGCGGGCCCGACAAAACGCCGCTGGCAGGTCAAGCAAGCTTGTTATGATACAAAAGGACCCTGATATTCCGAGATCGCTACCTGAAGTCCTCCTCAAGTTATCGTGCACACAGTCAGACTAACAGAAAGACAGACAGACTAACAGACAGACAAACGGAATGAAACTTTTTCGGTCAGTGGAGCGATGGGCTTCGCTACTCGCTCAACCAAAATTCAGATTAAACACGTCGTAGTATTTTTTATTTTTTATTTCATTTTGTTGGTCCCCATAAAAGGTGACTCGTGAAAGTCGAGTTTAAGATCGAAAATATCGTGTAATGTTAATTTTGTGCTTTTTCTGCGATGATCATTACAACATCGTGTGTTATTTCTGTATCACAGAAAACGTGCAGTCAGTGTCATTTTCTGAGTAAATTTAATAAACCGAATGTAATATTTGAAGGTCAGTTACTAGTGATCAGGAACAACAACAATGCATCCTCACAATAGAGAACAAATTTTCGTTTCGTCTATGATAACGATGCAAATTCATCATTTGTGCCATACAATATTCTATCTATAGTAATAATGATGTGCACAAAAATGCGACTCTCTTGTGTCAAAAACATGATTTCTCTTATATTTAGTGTGTGGGATTGAGCCTCTGGAGAAGTTATGCACAGAGACAATCAGAGTAGCTAACAGTGATAATGCAGCAAGGAATACAGTGTTAATCCTGTAACTTACGAGAACCGCGCCAACAGCACGCAACGTACCGACAAATTGTACTGGCATGTCACTGATCCAGTTGCCGGGTCTTATCCTTAGCCGAGTGTGTCCTTCGCCTACAGAGTCAAATGCGAATGGTCCTGCGCCTCGGAGTCGTATCTCCACACTTCCTGGATAAGTAGGTATATTTTGTAATTAGGACGTCTGGTAAACTTGATTACTGCACTCCTATGCTTAAGGGACTTTGCAGCGATACAATGACATATGCAGAGAACTCTAGAAATTAATTTCGACTCTAAAGAAGACTACTATATTTCGTTAGAAGACGACCAAAGTCGTTCTCATTATTTTATTCAAAATGTAACGGATTTTACAATGTCACTGGTGTAAATCCCATCAGAAAATTTACTATGAAGAAAAATACCATCAAAAAAGGTACGATCAGTTATTTGTCTAACTCCTGACATAAATGAGACGTTCCTGATAGCTTTTAGCCAGATGGTATTGTTTTGATAGTAAAGTTGGGCTCTGATAGCAAAGTTCTCATTGTAATAAAGCATTCTGGTTCAAGCTGCAATGCAGAAGAATGCAGGGAACAAGAAAACGGAAGTCCCATGGAAAAGCAAAGTGATTTCCGTTTTCTTGTTCCTCGCATTCTTCTGCAGTTTAGCTTAACCGGAATGCTTTATTGCGTTCTGATGAGAAACGTTGTCTGATGGTTAGTATACTACTCGTAAATGTCTTTGATGGTAGTATCTTTAAAGGTGAAGTACGTCAGCAGCAGGCCACCCGAATGCCGAGTTTGAACGTCACCCGTGTAAACTTTCAGCGATAAGCACAATGGTGGTGTCAAAATTGACCTATTTTTAGCCGTTCTCCTCGAAATCACGGGGTGATAAAGAAGATTTTGTTTTCATGGAAACAAACGATAAAGTATGTGATCCCCTCCCACCACACAAAGCCGTTGTACCGTGCGACGCATAGTTTTGTCAGGCCAATTATTTGCTAGATCGAGGCGATTAGGAATTCCTGATGTTTTTAAACATCATTTTCTGATGGTACTAAAAGGAACTATCAGAAAATGTCAAATAACCGTCAAAGATGTTTGTACGATCAGAAAAATACTATCAGAAAATAGAAATTATCCTGATGGTTTACACACCATCGGAAATTTTACAATCAGGGAAAAAATACCATCAAAACATTTAGAGAATGCCAGCAGGTTTTGAAGGAACGATCAGAAGCTAACCGCCAGAAACCAAACGCTCTGACGTCGAACTGGGCAGAAAAGATAGTGTAATAATTCTAACGCCCGCAGTAAGGGAGGGTGGGGCAGTGTGTAACAGATGTAGGAATTTGGCTGTCAAAGTCAATCCGTGAAAAAAAATTGGGTAATTAGGGCGCAAAAGAATAGATTGGACCTTTACTAACAATGGAAGTTGCTCGGATGTATCACTAGGCGCATTCTCGTATGACCTACAGCTTGTTGAAAAAAGGTCTGCATTTGTTACAGACTGCCCCGGCGCGGGGCAGTTTGTAACGACAGTAGGGCAGTGTGTAACAAAGGCTAGGATTGAGCTCTGGAGACGGGTAGAAAGGGAGAAAACAGCTTCCCCTTTCTTTCTATAATAGCTGCTGATACAACACCAGTTTCTATAAAATTATTTTATTGTTCAAATGACATTTTCTTAAAATTTACGAGTTTTCAATTGGAAACAGCAAATTGGTACTTATTTTGGATATATTTTGTGAACTTGAAATATAAACAAAAAGTTGTGCCTCAGTGAGACTGTTAGGGCACAGGCACATCATTGATAAGCAAATAAAACGATTCGTACTGCCCTAGACTACCCTAGACGTTCATGTTACACACTGCCCCAGGGTACACAGCCTGTTATGTGACCTCGTAGACCGAGAACCGTCGAGGTCGTGTTAGTGACAACGACCATTTTACAAGTGCTAAGGTGTCTACTTTGATAGAAAATCATTAGTTCGGGGGTTGTTTGAAACCCAAAGACCTCAACCGAAAAGATCATGTCGTAAAATGATGAAAATTGCCTAAAAATCGGGTGAGCTCAACTTGGCCGTCCTCTCACCACCGTTTAAACTCCCCAACCAAGGCGTTCTCGATTGAAAACGACCTTTGTCATTCAGAACACGTAATATGAACATTCACATTTGGTTCCGGACGTCCCATATTCGAAATACGGAGGTCTGTTACACACTGCCCCACCCTCCCTTACAGTTAACACAAGACCAATTCAAAGCAACGAGACAAACTTGTGTTAAATCATTGTTTGAGCGTGACTACAACATGATCTTTTAAGGTTGTTCTAGAAATACGTCATTTGAACCATCATCACTTTGTACTTATCTTTTTAAGAGTTAAAACATTACAACTAAAAAACCTAACAATTTAAAAAAAATGAATTTTTGAAATAGCTTGTTTGCTGAGAATCAGCCACCTATCTTGCTATGACCAAAAACTGATTCCTGTGATTTCGTGTGTAATGTTGTCTTTATATTTACTTACTCGATTGCCTTTGTGGTTCCTTTAAGGTAACGTCGAATATATACACACCAGTAGGCCAGCTCTCTTCGTACTCACAAAAGCTCTAGAGAGAGTTAAAAAGAAAAAAAAAAAAAAAAACAGCGTATAAGTAAACTTACACTCCCTTCAATGAAGTATATCCTTACCCGCCCACACGCTCTAAACGCAAGAGGCAATCTGCTCCAGGAAGCGGGAGAAGGGATACTTGCAAAATCATAGTTTACCGCTTCAAGTTCAACAAAGTTTTGAACGTTTATTCTAATGTCTTATTCCCTTGAAGAGTGCTAGATAGCATAGCGACTGCAGTATATTTCATTGCGACCTAATCTAGATTCTAAAAAGACATTTCCTGTAAAAGAAATTGCGGAAAGGCAGACAAAGTTGAGCTACCTGTGAAAAATAATGGAATTTGAAGGCAAGTCCTTCGATACAAAAGAAGTCATCTCAACTATCAAATATCTCTAAATGCTATACGATGGCTCCTAAAGACAACGTTCGGTGTGTGGTGGCCCACACGAAGTTCGATCTGCGGCGCGGCGGCCCTGTTACACCACTGTAATTCAAAGTGTGATGCTTTTCACACATTTTCGTGTGATAAAATGCCCGGTGTGATTCCCTTGATTTATCACTCCTGGGGGAGTGATGGATTTTTATCACAAATATTGTGTGATACTTATCGCAGAATAATGCAATAATTCTGGCTTTATTGCAAAACAGTGTGATGCACATTGCACAAAACTATGATACCTCGAAGTATAGCTCAAATAAGTGATTGTTATCACAAATGTAAGCAATGAATTTAATCTTGTACTTTTTTTGCGATGATCATCACAACATCGTGCGATATATCTGTATCACAGAAAATGTGCACTGTTAAAAATGTTTTGAAATTCCAAACCCAAAATTAACTGAATTTTCAGAATTGTAATGAAATTTTATGTTCGAACTGAAAATTCAGAATTGTTTTGATATTTCAAGACAATGCTATGAAAATTTAGAACTGGATAATGAAATGTTCGTACTGAAGATTCAGAACTAGGTAATGAAATGTCAGTATGGTTCTGAAAATTCAGAGCTGCGTAATGAAACTTCAGTTTAGTACTGAAGATTCAGAGCTGCGTAATGAAACTTCAGTTTGGTACTGAAGATTCAGAGCAGGATGATAAAATTTGAATAGCATTAATTAAGTTATGTACATCCCTGTGGCCTCTGGTATCATAGAAAATCAAGAACATTAATATTATCACAAGCGGAAAAGCTTTATAACTATAGTTATTTTCGCAACAAGGATTACCCTGCCTGCACCGATACTGTCGCAGTCAAGCGCACTTCCACTATTTGCCACCAGATGGCGCATCGATCGGGTATCTGATACTTTTCTTTTACGTGTCAAATATCTATTAAATTTCATAAATTTCCTATCCGAACTATTGATGGTCTGATAGAGCAGCGTCTCCTCGATGTACCTGCACATTTGTTTTTCATTTTTTGTCAATATTCAATATTTTGCATGGATTTTAAATTGGCTCTCGCTGAGCACTCATAACGCGAGCCCATGCACTCTCCGGCGCCCAGCTCCCCGTTATAAGTGTGCCATCTGCACCTGCACGGGTTAGGGGCACAATGAATTTGTACAAACTGACACCAACTTGGCATTGATTGAAGTGCTCCCGAAATCCCAATCGCGAGGATACTGACAAAATATGCGTTGTCAAATTTCACAGGGAATTTCATTACAAAGGTTATGAAATTTCAGTGCAGGTCCTGAATTATGCAAACAATATCGTACTTATATTTCATTACTAGCTTTTGATTTTTCATGACGCAAATCTTAAATTTCAAAACTTGTTGTACTGGAATTTCATTACCATTTCATGTAATGAAATTTCAAAACCAAAAAGTGATAGGAATTACAGTACCAAAAACTGAAATTTCAACCTGAATTTTCTAACAGTGTGCAGTCAGTATCACACTGTGATTTACAGTGACAAAGTTCGATGCTTTTCGCCACTCGCGGGAGGCGCAAGTTTAGACCTCTACCTCAGTTTTGCTGTCGTAGCATCCAAGGTTTTCTTTGGAATGTGTTGTTCTTTAATCTTTTCCAAACATGAACCAGTTTTTATTTTTGTATGCCTGCAATATTGACGAACATATGAATACATTTAGGCTCCGCTGTAGAGTCCGCTGGAATGTAGATCGAACTTTGTGTAACCGGAACTCTGCAGAACGAACTTTGTGCAACATCTACCAAGATACAGTTTTGAATCCTATAAGGCGCCAACGGTGTATCTCCTGCTGTTTTTTTTCCAACAGTTGATACAAATTTGTGTCTACACACGTATCAAAATTGCATTCAGACTCCCCTGCTATGTAGAGAATATGCTTACCCCCGCCCCCCCATTGCAGAAAACGCCCTCAGCGTTGCAACTGTCGTAACGGAATTTACGTTGTTGCCCTCCTCCCCCTTCCGCACAGGGCACTATTCTGATATTAGTGCACTCGCTGCTGTTGCAGAAGAGGAAGTGGAGGGGGCCATGCTCTGCCTTGTACATGACCTGCGCACTTGCATCGCTCCTGGTCAGATCAACGCTTGAGTCTGGAATATGAAAGCGATCGAACAGGTTGTAAAATTAGATGTACACTAAATGGGAAGAAACTATTTTTTCCACTGACAGATGCATTTTTATATCTTTGCTCTACAAAAATAAGCATTTCTTTGATAGATTTTTGTAATAATTTTGTCTGTTAACTAAATGGGAATGTGCCATTTGCATTCTACAGTCGCTCACCTAACTCGGCGGCTGGGGACAACCTCTTACCGCATTTGTCGCTCCCGACAACCGCTCGCCGAATGGAAGGCTATGTTTAATCGCTTCAGAGGGCGGAATACAAATGCTGGAGGAGCCGTTTTGGAGGCTGTCCGCCGTAGGGTAAGTCGTATATCGCTTATTTTTGATTCTATGGTTGTATTAGTGCTTGCCAGGTGCCATTTTGGATGAAAACTGCTGTAATTTTGTTAACATCGTTTTTCCTTGAACGATATTTTAACCCTTCCTTGCCTGTTATTCTAACTTTAAGTAAGGGGTGGTTCTAAAAACCTCGATTATTGCGTTTCTTAGCCCGCCCTTCTGCTTTAGAAAAGCTATCTAGCGGGCTTATGCAAACGACCTCGTGTCTGTCTATTGTCAAATTTTCAGGGTGCTTAAGGTTCACTCCTAGAAAACTAAACGCCTACGGCAAATCCTGGCAGACACCCCTACACGGAAAAAAATAAGTAGGGTAGAGTGGGGCACATTGGTCCGTTTTTTTTCTTTTTGCTCCCAATGCTTCATGTGACTAGCAAGAAATTATTTTCTATCGCCAAGTTTTAGTTTGGTCCTTACTTTACCTCAGAAAATTGGTCGCAACACTTTTCTGTTGGTACAGACTGAGGAAAACCGAAACCCGCAGAGGCCTGCTCGTGGACCAATGTGCCCCTGCCCGGGGCACATTGGGCCGACATGCATTGGGCACATTGAGCCAAGGTAAAAAAAAATGGCGAAGACAACCCTAGCTTTATTCTGAACACCATCAGGGTGTCTAAGTGTTATTCTAAGAAGAACATACCAAGTGGAAACAAGTTTTCGAAAAATTAAATAAGTCAGTTTGCAAGACGGCTCAAACTGCCCCAAGGGTAGCAAATTTCATTAATGGCTCCAAAAGATAACTGGATTGCCCTAACCAATTGGACACTGGGTGCAATCTGTAGCTAAAAGAGTAGGCTTTTCCATAAAACTTGGTTTGTAACCGAAAATTCGTGTGATGTACCTCTAAATGGGCTAGTTGTGGGGTAAAGACGTTTTACTTTTACCTGATTTTGAGGTTAAAAAATATTTAACCCCTCGCCAATCCGATGGTTGCCAGTGAACTTTGTCATACCTTCATAAAATCAGTCAGGGTGGTAATGGCTTCTTCTATAGTGTGAGTCAGATCACTGCGATTGCTCTATCCTCGTGAAACTTGATGGTGGACCAATGTGCCCCACGGACCAATAGCTAATTAGTTAGCTGGCAGCGTGACAGCAAATGGCTGACCTGTAAGAGCCAAGGCGTCAGCTGTGAGAGCTAAGCGTGCGCTACCAGAGATAATCCGCATAAGCTGTAACGACTAATGCAAAATATTTGATTTTTTGAAAAATATTTTTCGATTTTTGATTACTGTTTACTATTTACACTGCTGGTGATGTCTCACACTCCCTCGGCACGTTTTTCGAGAATCAATTAGGAGCGACCTGAGTGGGTGTTGAACCCTTGTCCTTCTTCTTTGCGCGCCAACTCGGAGGCACTGAGCCACTGCGCGCGATGAGACTGGGATGGAGCGCAAGCAAGCAAGAGGGAACTTTCAAAAACCGAACTTCAAGTGTGTGTATTAGTCTTTGCAGCTAATAAACTTTGCTGGTCTAAGCCAGACGTAGGCTGCCCTAATCAACACTTAATAAGCTAGGGTAGTGACCGAAGATTAGTTCACGGAGCTTATCTTAAAGCTAGTTCAGCTGATATGTATCTTTTTCAGGGTGGTTAGCTGCTGGTCACAACGCCTTAGCAAACCCAAAGTAGAAGAGTTTAGTTCTGTGAACTAAAGGGCATTGAGCTACCGAAACCAAAGTCGTCTCGTTTCTCATATCTTACAAAAAGGCTGTAAAAACAAATGCTTATGTTACACGAGCAAAATACATTTGCTGTCACGCTGCCAGCTAACACATAAGCTGTCCCAGCTAATGTTTAGCTGCAGGAAATAATATATTTTTTTTTCCGTGTAAAGGGCTGAAAGGGGGTATAAACAAGCAGGCCCACCCTTCCGCAAAACGAAGTTGCCAGCTTCGCTTCGCTGCGCTGGCAACTCCGTTCGGCAGGGGCCGGGCCTGCTTGGCCTGCCAGCGGCGATGGTCGGGCCTGCGGCCCGACCATTTCTGTCACGCGATTTGCTGAAGACCATAATCAAACGATGTAACGGGCTTTCGGCCCGCAAACCCCGTCGTCCTTAAAATTTGCCCCGTAGTGAGTCACTCTTGTATACCATTGAAAATGGCTTTTGGAGTAGAATCATTAACACTTTTAATATATTAGCGCTCGAGACAGGTTTTCCAGAAAATTGAATTAATATGCACACTAAATCTGAAGGGTCTTTTTATAGTGTGCATGTAATCAATCAACAAAATTTATTTTTTTCTTTGAGATTTTAGTGGGCATGTGTACGATGGAATTTATTTCCTACTTTGTGTGCATAAATATAATGAAATTGCGCCTTCCTCTCATATCTTACTGTTGCAGACAGCTGGGTCCTCGTCGGCACCGTCACTGCAATCTCGTGCACCGTCACACTTACTGATGACACTTAAGATTTGGCCGTCACTGCATTGGAATTCATGGCCGTTAGGAACCCCTATGTCACCTGTTTGGAAATGGCATTATAGCTTCAAAAACATTTAGGAACACCGCTTCCCGCCTCACTAGGCGCGCTTGGGGGTGACTTGAACTCTCGTTCCTCTTACATCCACTGCTGCATCTGCATATGAGTCACTTTTTTAAAGTTTTTGAAATTCATAATAGCTAGCAGTTTTGACATCAATTTGAAGAACATTCGTGTTTTGTAACGTTACGATGCTGTTCTAAAGATTTCCATAAACGTTTGTAAAATTCAAGAACTTTTCTTCTCCTGAAACTTTTCTTATATTTTATAACATGTTAAGAATTGTCAAGAACGATTGTAAGTTTTTAAAATGTGTTACATGTTTATAAAAACTAGAAGCCACACGAAAGGATACAGCTATTCTTTTACATTCTCCAAGCAATTCAAACGAGCCGAAGAAAAGTAATAGCCTGAATGTTGCCTGCATTTGTCAAGGTTGACTGTTCGTTCGTAGGCAAAGCGCAGGTAAACATCAGGTCATCGTTACACGCTAAATATATTTGTCTGTTTTTGTGCGAATGTTCTCACTCAGTTAAAACTACGTTTCGTTTTGCACATATTTGAAAGCCAAAGTACACGGTTTCCTACAAATGAATGCACAAAAGTGTTCAAATCAACGCATAAATGTGTGCAAAAGATTTGATTGCTTTAGTTTGTACAAATAAAAGATACTAATCCAGTTAGTGTGCAGGCAACATTTAGGCTATTACTTTGCCTCGGGATTGGATCACCGAAAACTCGACACGTCCTACGAACAAATTCCGACCTCCCGGCGCGCCGTTCAATAAAGTTCGATCTCCGGGCGCGCCGTTCAACACTGTCCGATCTCCTTTTCGGGGTTTGCAGCGAGGTGGAATTTTAAACGCCTCGTACGTCTGTTCGTCAAGATTAAAGCATTTCATTATTGGCCCAATGTGTTGCATATTCTTTGAGGATCACATTAGTTTCCCTATAAGTGAACTATCAACGAAGATATCACGGCTTGAAGCCTACGGTGCAGATAAAAGCTGAAAAAGAGATCGCACAGCGTTGAACGGCGCGCCCGGAGATCGAACTTTGTTGAACGGCGCGCCCGGAGATCGGACAGTGTTGGACGGCGCGCCGGGAGATCGCACTTTGTTCGTCGGACGCGTCGAACTTGCGTTACAATGTAGGACGCTAGTAAAAAATACCAAAAGTCGCAAAAACGTCGATTTGTAATGTGAACAACGGTCTTGCGGCTCATCCAAAACTCGACCTTGAAGTTGTGGAATAGATTTCTGATGAAAACAGGATGTCAACGAAATTTTTCCGTCAAAATTTGAAACACCTGGAACTTTTCCCGTATAGGCCTGAATGAGCATTTGCAGGCCTCTACGAAAAAAGTTCCAGGTGTCTCAAATTTTGACGGAAATATTTTGTCGACATCTTGTTTTCATCAGAAAGTTCTATTTTTTAAGGGCGACTCTTTGGTCTACGAGCCCCTAGACCGTTGTTCACCTTACAAATCGTCGTTTTTCGAATTTCGGTATTTTTTCACTAGGGTCCTACCTTGATGAGCGAGTCACTTGGTATGAAGAAGAAAAGATGGTGGCGTAGCGTAGCCCAAAACAAAGCAGAAAGCTGCATCGTGGCATTGCGTTTATATTCAAAGTAGTCTATTTCAAATTAGTTTTTAATCCCCACTAGCCTACAATCAACAGAAATATATCCGATGTCAGCTCCAAAAACTCTATTATTTGAAACGGTTTTGCAACTAGTTCATGTCGCTTTGTTTTGGGCCGGCGCTACGCCACGCCACCGCGCCATTTTTTTTCTTTTCTTCTACATACCAAGTGACTCGCTCATTAAGTTCAAAACTTATTCTGGTCTATAAGTCCAGCCACCTGCAAGGTGCAATGTACATCCGTTTTTTTTGTTTGTTTTTTTTTGTTTTTTTTGTATTTTTTTTTTATCGCTAGGCATAGGAATTATCTTGCAAGCACCTACAACTTTGTACGGGGACCCGCTGAACGTGGCTGCACGGAGCTACCCCCTAGAACTACGGGTTAATACGGAGCCACCACGAACTCCGTATTTTTAGGTTTCAAGTGTTGCACAGTAAGAGCAATGATGTTCATAAAAGGATTTTTTCTTATAAACCAAGAGACTCACAGCAAACATTTTACCGCGAAGTTCCCGGTTGTTTCCGTTAAAGTTCCCAGTTTTCTCTCACGCATGCGCAGACCAACATGACGAATTTTCAAATTTTACTAGTGTCTTAATTTTTATGGTTTATGAGCCTTTTAGGCAGAACTGAAGTTGGGCCGTCCTCAGATTTCAACCCCTGAAAACTAAAAGGTCGTACTTTGGAGCGGTTGCGTATAGTGTCGTATCTCGCTAGGGTCCCGGAGAATGGTCGCAAGACTACTTTTTGCGAGATGCATAATATCATTAGAAAGAGAATTTTTTCCTGATTCTAATGATTCGCATCTCGCAAAATCGACAAAACTTAGACTTACGACCATTCTCCGGGACCCTAGCGAGATCCGACACTATACGCAACCGCTCCGAAGTACGACCTCTTACGCGGACCTTCGGAAGTACGACCTTTTAGTTTTCAGGGTTCGATTTGTTTTATAACCAGGTTGCCTCAAAAAATCCATCAAATGTTCCGACATAACCTAAAAATATGAGGCGGAAAAATCGCACTGGGAAGTGCTTTCCTGAATCAACCCGGAACTTCACGGAAAAATGTTTGCTGTGACTTAACTGAGGTGGGCCAGAACCGTGCGCAATTGATGGAGACTGTCTTCAGTGAAAAATAATAGTATGACCTCTGGATGGTGGGGCTACCGTGAAGGCAACCAAATCTCTGTGAGTACATAACACATAGAGTTGACAAGAACTCGAGGTTATACGTACCACTGAACTGAATAGCCATGTCGTGGTACCAGTCTGAAGGTCTTATAAGAAGCTCGTTGTAATCTTTCGGTGCGGAGAACCACTTTCTGTTATTGGCGTGGCCATAAAGCCATATTGATAGGCCATCAAAACGGCGTTCAATTTCAAAGATAAACTCTCCAGAGTTCATTGCGCCACATGTAGCTGGATAACTCTTTAATAAGAAAAAGGCCGTTAACACTTCGTGTAAACTGTAAAACGAACCCCTGATTAAGAAAATTAGATTATATATCCGTAGGGCGAAGGCGCCCTCAGCTTAAGCAGCCCACCTCAGAGGTTTAGGAAGACTGTCGAGAACAAGTAACCCAGAGGGAATTTCGATTTTTCTATGCTAATCGATGCTCCCCAACTGACGATTTGATCAGTAGTTACAAAGAGCTAAAGTAGCGAGGTGGGCGCAGCAGCTCGTCATGTTGGCCACGCTAACTTTGGGGGACTTCCTCAAAATTTGTGACTTACTTTGAAAGTCGTTCTTATTTTTCAAAAAAAGATCCCTCAAAGTAACTGACTTTCTCAAAGTTTTCCCTTTTCCCTAACACAATACGACTTCGTTTTTACCGTGATACTTATTGCCCCACTGCAATTCTTTTGTCCGCCTGCACTCTGCTGCCCCAGAAACACATAACAAAATACTTGCCGTGATAGTGCACAATCGTCCATCAGGTGTGTATCCATCGAAGGACATTGAGGTGCAATTGGTGCTGTTGCATAAGTACACATCCAAGTTATAAAACTCCCATTTATATTGCACTCTTGCAATAAGCTTCTCACCAATTGAAACATTTCTGGCACCAACTGCGGATGAAAAATGATTAAAGTTAGAATATGCAGCCAGGGAGCTACTCGCCTTTACCATGAGAGTAGGCTATATCAGTTCTTTTTAGTAAAGCTTACCTCTACAGAGGGCAATATCTTCGTCGGCGCCATCTGAACAATCCGCAATGCCGTTGCACTTTTTCCATATCGATAGACACTGACCGTCGTTACATGTAAAATCACTGGCAAAACATGCCTCGCCGACGATGCCTGTAATATGAATTGATTCCACAATAGAAATGTGATGGACATGGGCGATAATTAATTCTCGAGACACTCTTTCATCTCCTGCTTACGGATGCGCTTTCCGTAATTACTGTATCAGCTGTTTTTTTCGTTTGGCGCACTAATGTACACATTTTTGACGTTATTATGCTACATTACGGATCCCAACAATATTTCACGTTGGCATACGGCTCTAGTTGTGAGAATAATTAGAACATAAGGTGAACACAGCCCAAGAAAGGGTGTGTCGACTACTGTGGCAAACAGTTTTTCTTAACCCTCATGTGAGTACAGCACTCATGTGAATGCAAAGGTCGTGTGTACAGGAAAATACCAAGTGATTCACCCCTCAGCGGAAATTGTTTTAAAAGTGTTACCTTTTTTTACTTATAATTGTGTTTAATGCCGTAAATGTTAACTTGAAAGAGGGTGGGGTTATGTTGACCAGTTCATGCGGCCTGCTCATCAATCCCACTTACCCAACCGTGGCCAGCGAGCGCAAGTCTAGTCCGCGCGATTCGTCGTATCGGGAGCGAGGGGGAAATCACTTGGGTTCGTAGCGTACGGGCTATTTCGTGGTATTTCTCCTGCCATTTCGGTTATTTCTTCTGCCACTTCGGCTATTTCTCGCCTATTTCGGATTATTTCAGGGTATTTCGCGGTATTGCGGAGTATTTCAGGGGTATTTCGCAACTATTTCACCGACTATTTCGCGTCTATTTCGGGTCTATTTCGCTCTATTTCGCCTTTATTTCGCCTTTATTTCGGACTATTTCGGGGGAAGGTGTACGAACTATTTCGCAAGTGATTTCCCCCTCGATCGGGAGTTGGGAAATGGGGAAGAGAGCATTCGACGGGTTGCCTTCTCACTCGTCATCCTCCGGAAAAGTGAAACCCAGCAGGGTGTATTGCAGTTCCTAGATGCCTAAAAAGAAGTGCCAGCAGACGTCAAACTGAAAAGATGGCCTACGTTATAACGTCGGAGCACTGGAAAGACCTTCTGGACGAGAAGGGCGGAGAACGGGTATAGAAAGCACGCCTGAAAGCTGAAACGGCCCCGCAGCGCGTCGCCACTAAGACTGAAATGGATGCCATGACGCGTTTAGCAGTTGGGAGAAGAAAATGTGCCGATAGCTATTATAATAAGCATTTTCTACAAGCAAAAGACACGAAATGACATCGTGTGCAGGGAATCGGCCTGGTGGTGGAGCGCTCGGTGAGACGCGGCAAGCAGCTTTCTGCTCGAACTTTCTATACCGGTCTATACCGGTGTAAGCACGGATTATTACATCTTTCTCTGAGTAGTAATGTCCCAGGGTACTATTACTCGGAGTAACAATATCCTAGGGTATTATTACTCTAGGACAAAAGAGTAAAATTTCTCACTGCCACCTGCTCTTGGTGGCAGCACATAATCGGCGACACTTGCATTCTGGTCTTAACACGTTGAGTCCCAGGGGGGTCATTAATCACGTGCTTTGTGACCATACGTGTGGTCACGTGGAACTCAACGTGTTTTAATTGAGTGTCCTATAACCTACCCAAACGCGGAACTTTCTGACGAAAACCGAATCGCCAGAAATCGGTCGCAAACTTGAAAATGTCGACTGCTGGTGCACTGTATTGTCGACTAATGGGCCCCTACCGCCCCTACTCTAATGAGAGCAAATTTGCAAACAGCAAATTAACTAGGTACCCTACATGCATAGCATACCGTTCTAAACGTTATTAAAATTTACTACAGTTTTGAACATAATTTTAATAACACCGATGTTTTAACCGTTTTTTTCATAACATATTATGACTTTTGAAAACATTTTATAACTTTTCAAAATCGATTGTTACTTTTAATAACCAAAAAAATGTTCAAAATACTATTCAATCAGGCATATTTTGTTTTCACTGTGATACTTTATAGTTTTTGAGTGAACTCGGTAGAGTTAAACACGGGAACCGAGGAAAAAATGAGATTAATTAACTGTCGGTGGAGGGCGTTGAGCGCTGGCTGCGAAACACGGCGCACGGCTTTTTGTGGTTCTCTTTTTACTTCTCACTGCCTATCCCGGGATTCACTGAAATACCATACCATAGTAACAAAATTGCACCAACCTTTAAAAGCCAAGATGACGACGGCAACTGTAATCGATAAGAGCATTGTGCGGGTTCGTAAGGTAACAGCAGAAGTGACATGAAGTTACACTTGCTCTGAATTTATCTGATTCATTTTCTAAAGTTCGGTCTGTATCTAATCGCGATTGAGTGGTTTCCGTTGTTATCATGCTGAAATAAGCTTGGGTCGGTCTCGTTTTCCTCAAGGAGATAACCTCGAAGTGTGTTTGTAGAGAAAGATTAAGTCAGATTTAATTAATTTTGTTGATGACTTCAGACGAAGATTTGCGGAATACATTGTTCTCCTTGAGACACTTTTTAAAGTATTCGTCGACATTTTAGTAAAAATCCTTACTTGCATGATTTCTCAGCCAATATTGATTTTAAAAATCTAAAACAATTAGCCCACTTGAAGATTGGTAAGAATGAAGAAATTAACGATCCAGTTTATTAG